AACACTGTGGTCTAATTACGTGTACTGCACATGCACATGTAGTCTAATGTACATGTACATGTGTATGTACATGTAGCATAAGGACACAAAAAAGTAAAGATGTACAGTGTATAAACCAATTGTTGTTAGTTAATGCTAGCTATCATTACCTCCTTTGTCTGGGTGGCGAGGACTTTGATAGCAGCCATGCAGACTTCATCATTAAGCTCCGGAGACATCAAATGTGATTTCTGAATGCTTTGGACCAAAACTCTAATACCAACGTAGTTTTCTTTCATAGCAAGCTGCTTTGATACCTCTGTAAAAACTTTACTACTTGGCAAACGATAAGCCTACAAAGTTAAAGGATTATTTATTATTAAAGAAGTGTATGGGGTCTAAAACGCACTGAAATTATATCAGATGCTATTTGGAATACTGCTTCAGGGGATTCTTGACAAGAAATTAAGAGCTAAAAATAATAAAAAATTAAAAAATAATATTTTATTAGAGTCCTTACATGAGCTGCTACCTCTCCCCTTACTGCCCCATTCCCAAACAGTGTGGAAGGTTGAACACCAGAGTCTCCCATGCTAGTGACTGGTACTGGTTTATTGAGGGTGTTATTAGTAGCAGCTGCTTTATGGAGTTGATCAATGACTCTCATTTGTAAGCTGATGGTTCGCATGTGACCCTACAATATAGTAAAAATTATATACATGTAAATTGTACATGTACACATGTAGCCAGTAAAAAATTGTTTCTCAGTGTCAGTATATATACATGTACAATACATGAATCAATAAAGCTATACTATATAGCTGGAAATATTGGCACAAGTTAAATTTGATGATTTTAAGCAATTGACAGATTTTATAATTACATGTATCTAATATTAATTCTCCCTGAATATTTCCAGCTACCGGTAAATGGTAATACGTGTACCTCTAGTTCTGTAGTACTGAAATTAGCATTCCTCTTCACTTTAGCATCAATTGCAGTCCTAAAGTGATTTCTGGCTGTCTCCAGATAATGCTTTCTACTATACAGGTCACTGAGAGTTGTCTTGTGACCTGAGAACCCAATGAAGAACTGAATGCAAGCACTCTTGATGCAAGTCATAGCAGCACGAACAAAATCCTAAAAATAATAAAAAATTAATAAATAAAATTTCAATATAAAAGTCTTCTTTACCTTCATGAATAGTTGTATTCTATAGAGAACATGGAATAGTTTCCTCTGAGATAGAAATCTACAGACTCCAGTGAGGTATTGTTCCCATACAGAGAGTGAAGGGTCAATGCATGTGAGGGCTTCCTCCAAGTTATCCAACTGACCACATTTCAAAGCTGGGAGCCATATCTGATCAACAAAGACATTGTTGGAGCAATGCTAATGATGAGACAGAAATTTATTCAAAATAGAGTAATGTTAATTACAGTCATTTTTACAATAAGATAATAATACCAAGATAATTCTGAATACAGTAGAGCCTCTTTTAATGAATAACTCTCTATACTGGACACTTCTATTTAACAGACAACACCTAGTGTACCAATTACATTCTTTACTTTATAAAATAACTTCCACATATAGGACACCTCTGTAGTACAGACAAACTTCCGTATACCAGAGTGTCCATTATTTAGAGGCTACACTGTATTATATTATATGAGGTACTTTCAGAGAGATACATGTACATTAATATGACAATCACAGATTATACTTTGCTATAAGCATTCTGATAAGCATCCTTCCAGTAATTGTCTGATTCTTGCTAAAAATAAATGAGTTTTGGTCACCTGAAAAAATATGTTAATTTTTGAAAAAAATCCCTGTACTGTAGTTTATGCTTTTTCCCAAAAAATGGCTCAAAAATCACCCTCCCCCCCATTTTTAAATTTTCTGATTCATATTGACGTTCATATGTTATGTAAAAAATTTCAACTGATTCTGACTCAAATTTTGAGAGTTATGCCCATTCTTTGAATATACGACTTTTTATGCCTATTACAAGTACTATGCTAGTTTCCATGCTAGTCTTGGCAAGTTGGAGGAGTTTGGTCAAATAATTACATCTATAATATCCTCATTCTTACCATATACACTGAATCCAATAGCTCTTATTGTATTAAAACTATCAAAAGGATATAAATAATTGATCATCATAATTAATTTGGAGTGTCTCCATGTTTTCAACAACTCTGTTCAAGTAGGCCTGGCACTTGACTCCTTTATTAAACATAGTCTTGAAGGAGCTTCTTAATTTAGTAAGAGCTTCATGATCCAGAGTTTACAATCCCTCACTTTATCCCTCATCATCAACCATGATATCCATGCAGCCACTCCCACAATCAGTTAATTAACACAATTCATTGTGTCGGTATCATGATGTTTTAAAGTGCCAGTTACATACAAATACTCTAATTAAATATAAAGTGACACATTTCCTTTACTATCTCCTTTTCTTCCTCTCTAATAGCTCAATCCAGTACCAATGAGCAATGGCACTAGCTACTACTTATACAGATACACCACATTCCAGTACATTAGCATTGTGAGTACTAAATAGTCTCTCTTATATGCTCATCACTCCTTCTCTCTAATCAATGAGTGAGTACTGACATATACCGGTATATCATACACAAAACATTGATAATTATTATACACAGTTCTGAACTGTGTATAATAATTATTATCAATTGGTCCTGTATGACCACGTTTTTGCACGTGGTCAAACAGTGGAGGGTGTGGTCTAAATGATAATTAATTTGTTTGGAATGTAAGGCGTGGCTCGTTGTTTCAACAAAGGCAACAATTCCCGAGAAGAGGATGTCTGGAAAAAGTTAGTTTATCTCTTCCTACCATCTTCCCTCCTCCCCAGTCTTCGTGCTCTTTCGTTCTATTTATTCTTCTGTAGTCATTATCTTCATTTCTATTATTATTTATTTACTACAGGTTTCAAAATGAGGTCTGAACACAAAGCTCCTGTAATAGGGGAGTCCCTCTACCTGTGGGCAGGGAACCAGGTTGACTTACCTAAAGTTCATGACTCCCTTCAAAAGAGGGAACTGACTTCAACAGTTGATATCTACCAGCTTTCTACTGCTGACTGGTCCTCTCACCTAACAAGAGGTACTCCTCCATTAGGAGTAATTGGCTACTCCTGTACCACCTCTC